AAACCAATCTGTATTTGGGGTAAAAATGGGAGTTCATAACTCACTTGAAACTATTGTTCGAAGTATGATATGTCAAGAGCTTTGTAATGTTGTGAACAACCAATAAAAAAAAAAAAACAAAACCAAAAAATTCAGTGTTCAACAGGCCTTCATTACCCAGGTAGCACTCAGCTAAGCACTTTATATGTATTGTCACTTGTGATCCTCTCAACACTCAGTGAAGGAGTACTCTTACTATGCCCACTTCACAGATAAAGAAACTAAGATCAAGATAGGGTAGCCCAATGTTCGTGGTTGTGCAGCTGAAAATTTGAGGAGTTGGGATTTAATCCCAGGTTGTTGGATTCCAGGGCCATGGAAGGGACCCTGCAGTCACCTTGCTCAGTACCTTCCCTCACATGGGAACCAGTCAGTTCCTGCTGAAATGCAGAATCTCATCCACAGCGTCTCCACTAGTCCAGGCAGAGTTGGGAAGCCATATTCCAATTCCCTATCCCTGTGTACTTAACAACTCTAAGTACATAGCAGAAACACAGGGATAAGATCCTCCGAGTCAAGCCTGGTGAGGACCCTGGAGGATCATCTCAGCAACAATAGGTTATGTGACACAAGCAGAAAACATAGGAATGGTTAAGAAAAAGTCAGTGCAGTGCAGGACACTGGAAAGCAGGGCCTCACTGAGGCTTAGTGGGCAGCCCAGAGGCCTTGTCTCTAGTGTGGCCCTGACCCAAAGTGCACACACAGCAGACAGTGGGCAAGTAGCTAACTGCCATCAAGTTTATAGTTCTCTTCAAAATACACAGATTGTTTTACAGTTAAAAACTTTGCTAAAACATTAACTAGAATTTAGAACAGTGCAGTGTTCAGAGACAAAATGAAGCAATTCAATCTTTCCTAATAGTCAAAAACACTACTAAGTTTTAAGAATTTAAAATACCAAGAAAATCAGGCCTTATTCCAGTCAGGCCTTGCTGCTGCTGTGGTGATGGTGGTGGTTGCCCGTTTTGGAAAACCAAACCACTTTAGTGGCCAGCAGGAATTAAGGAGACCCTTTGGAATTTCAGAGTCACATCTTTTATAATAGCAGAGTCCCTTAGAGTTAAGGGCTTAGACTGAACTTTATTATTTTCTTAGTTTCAAATAGCAGTGAGTTCTCACATCTCAAACTGAGTTTGGGCAAGAAGGCTGGAGATGGTGAGAAGGTGTAGGCTTAACATTTGGTGTTTGGGAAGTGATGGCATTTGAGGAAATGGGAAGAGAATCAGAAGACCTAGGTTCAAGTTTTGCTTCCCTTTGTGCTAGCCTGTGCCCTTAGATGTGTTCCTAACACTCTCTAGTCTGAGTTCCTCATCTGTAAAATTGGAATGATTAGATTGGAAATAAAAACTATGTGCAGTGGGGCGCCTTAAAGGACTGTAGAGGATAAAAAGCATTCTTGGTCCTCCCGACATGAGTTTTCTGCTTCACTATGTGGCATCTCTTCTGTTGACTCAGCCCTGGTTCTCCTTGAACACCCTGCAGATGAGTCAGAGCACGTATGCTGGCTGCTCATTTTGAGAGCTGGACCTGAGGAACCTTCCGAATCTGCCTCTTCTAATTTCTCCCTGTATTTCCCTTCATGGAAACATTAATTAATCCTCCCAAAGGGAATTGCAGTATTCTTTACCATGGGTTGGTGCCCTGTGGCCTGATATCAACATGTCACATTGATATCAGGCCACAGGGCACCAACTTCTGATTCTGCCCACAGCTCATTCTAACAGAGCTCCCTGGAACAGGGTGTCAGACGCTGGCTTGAACTGACAAGTACAACTGAGGATATTGTTGTTCTTAAAAACAGCTGTGGAAGGCAAAGTAGGATTTGGAGCTGATCACATAATGCAATTTTGAGCAATAAACTAGTGATGATTTGATTCATGAATTTGTTATTTCAGAGCACTTACCATCTTGAACAAAGAAAAATTCCTTTACAAATATGTGTGACAGAAACCACATCCGACAAAACTTTTAATCTTATATTATTCATAAAATCTTTATGAATTATAGGGTCTATGGCCTATAATATGCTGAATGACATCTTTAATATAATAACAAATTGACACATATTTCACAAAAAAAAAAGCCTTGCAGATTTACTCAGCAGTATTGAGCGTGGGGTGAGGCTGGCCTGTTCACTTCGTGTGTGCAAGTCAGAAAGAGAGACAGGGGTTCAGGATTGTCATTCTTCCCTCAGCAGGAAAGGAAGGCCCATTATGGGTAGGCATTGGGATCCCCAAAACAGTGGGGAAGGAAAAGCGTAAAAAGGGGCCACCTTTGATCCTGTTTTGGATTTCTCTTTGACAAGTGAAATTCTAGTCCTAGCTTGAACAGATTGACTCTTAATCTCCCATTGCTTTAGGAACATTGCTTTTTATAGTCTTAACAGTTGTTATTTGATATAAAAATCTTGGAAGAGGCGCCATTCTTGGAGAATGAGCAAAAGGGATCAAGCGTTCACTTCCTTTCCCTCCGGAGAAAGCAACTCCTCTTGCCCACCCAAACTGCCCAGCGAGGCCAGCACCGCTGGAATATTGTCCCACTGTATCATCCATGTCAGAATCTCAGTGGGCTATGTTGGATGCTACTGCCTAGCTATAGTAGATACCTTGGGAGTCACAGGCAGGTGCTGTTAAGTCCCTATGTTTATTGGATACAACTGTGTGCTTAGGGCTGTTTCAGGCACTAGGAAGCAGGGAGAAGAGTCAAAGATGTGCCCTGCCATTTTAGAGCTTATGATACTAGTATGAGTGAAGAGGTATACAAAAGGCAACACTATCTGGCAGGTTGTGGCAGCCACTGAATGAGGACATCTCACAGGAAGGTGCTGAAAGTGGAAAAGTTTGAATTTGGAAAGTTCCCTAGTGGGTGGCTAGGCACTGAAGAGGGCAGAATAATGCTTTTGGTTGGTGTAGGTACTGAGTGGGGGGAGTTCAGGGAAAATTAACAGGGTTTGCAGAGATGTGAAAGTGAGAAGATGTAGCCTTTTGGTCCATGTGCTTGAAAGCTACTTACCGGTCCGTGGTCCTCATGGAGGATACGGAGGCTCTCTTGGTAGGTTTGGCTGCTGGTCTCTTGACATCAAGGACTGTATGGTTTTCTTCCTTTATTACTCTATAGGATGCCTGAAAGTGTTTTCTCTATAGTAACTAGAGTATTTATGTCATTATAAACTACATTGTAGTATGTTTATAAATAGAAGAAACCTTTTTAATATGAAAGGTTTGAAAAACTTCAAATGGAGAGTTCATATGAAAAATCAGGCACAATATTTAACCGTCATGTGAAGGGTCCTTCATATGAAAGTACCTTCTTATGACCTTTTAATATCATGCCTGAACTTTTGTCCGCCTGGCCAGGTGCCCATCAGTGCTCTGTGGCCCATGCTGTCCCCATTTGTCTCATTCAGGGTGAGATTCTGATCACAAGAGTGGGATATAGGTGGAAGGTTAGAGGGAGGGAAAGGAAGGCCCCAGAGGACAAGATAGATGGGCATTTAAAAAGGAAGAAGAAAGAAAACTAAGCCCTAGATATGATGGAGGGCTAAGTAGGCTAAGTAATGCAAAATATGGAGCCTGGTGGAAGGAAAAAGGAACAGAGAGGAATGTTAAGAAGAGCCAGAATTAATCAAATTAAGTTCCAGGGACTGAACCATGCTAAAAATATTGACTTGATGTTGAAATTAATATTGACAGCTGAAGTTTAAATACGTTTGTTATATATCTTTTTCATGTTAAAATAAAAATGACACCAAAGTGCTATGTTGACATTCTTCCCCCCCCACCTCAGAATCCTAGCATACATGATGCCTTGTTAAGTGTCAGAACAATGGATAGCCAGTATTTGATTTTCCCTTTCCTTTCTCACTACAGGAAACACCAGAAGTAGCCCACCATCCTATGGGTTTCACCTCTCACCAGAAGAAATGAGGAGACAACGGCTTTACAGATTTGATGGCCAGTGAGGTGGCACAAGGTCTTGGGAAGACATGGTCCAGTTGTGTAACTATTGCTCATTTGGCTCACTCCCCAAGCCCCTAATTAGTTTTAAACAAAAACAGAATATACCATTGTGGCCCCAGATTGCTCTTGTCTGCTGTGAACCATCACTCCACGGCCCCTGCAAGTCCAGATTGCCTTTTCTGAAAACTGAACTTGTCCAAGGCGGGCTCAGCTTCTGGGAGTGGTCCTTCTGGCCCTATTTTCTGCTCTAACAGAAGGTCACTTCCTCAACTTTGGGACCAGTTTCCACATTCCTTCTCTCTCTCCTGACTCAGTGGTGCCTCTGCCCTATTTTGCTTTTGAAGACTGTGACTTTCACCAGGAAGCTTTGTTTTCACAAGATGGGAAGATCAGTCCCTCACTCTGCCTGGAGTGCTTGTGCTGACTTGGCAGGAGATGGGCACATTGCCATGGTGACTGCCCAGGAAAAGGATGTGACTACCTTCCCAGCATACTGTTCTCTTCTTCTCCCAGGCATCTCAGCTCCTCTGGCCACCAGGTCTAGGTGCTAGTCACAGTGGCTTGCTTTTTGTGTTGCTCTGCCTATAGAAAGAATGTTTTACTGAAGAAGTGTAAGAATGGCCTAAGATGGAGAAAACATCTGCCCACTCCATTAGGTATTAGATGGCACCTGCAGTCAGAGTTAACAGCCACCCCTCCAGTGGCAGTAAGATGGGACCTATCGTGTATCTCATCAGCAAAGCAGCAGCAGCCACATACAGAGTAGAGTGAAGGCATTCAGTGGACTGAACACTAGCAATCCTCCTTACAGGAAGTATTTTTTCTTTAAAAAAGTGCCTCTTCATTGTCCTCTGTAACTACCATTTGTCCTGGACAAGTGTTCAAAACATGCCCCAGGGCCCTGCAGTGTTAGACACAGATTGTCTGTCGAAGTCATTTAAGGTATTTCCTGGTGCAGGTGTGTTATGAATAAAAAAGAACAAAGCCAAAACATCATTAATGTTGAATTGTCATGGAGCTATTTATTTTTAAAGAGACTTAGAAGTAGTCAAAAATCTTCCTCTTTTGACTTATCTGTCATTTATAATAGTTTTCTGACTATGAAAATAATAAATATGCCTTCTATATGCATAAAGCAAACATTTAGAATGAAATAATACTAAGTGTTAACAGTTTTTTTTAAAGAGAGAGAGAATGGTTTTTTTAATTTATTTTTCAGTTTTCTGTGGACACAACATCTTTATTTTATTTTTATGTGGTGCTAAGGATCGAATCCAGCTCCCCGCGCATGCCAGGCGAGCGTGTTTCCACTTGAGCCACATCCCCAGCCCCAACAGGTTATTTTTGAGGGGTGGAGTACATGTGATTTTGCTTTCCTTTTACAATTTTATATTGCTAATATTTTAAGAGTGTGGCGGGTACTGCAGTCAGGAGAACCAATTTATATAATAAATCAAGAAATACATAACCAGTAAAACAGATGTAAAATACTATGCATCCACTAAGAAAACTCACAGGATAAAACAGTAATACAAATAAATACATACACAATTTTAAAATCACCTGTATACCCATCATTCAGAGGTAACCAGGGTTAATATTTTGGGGAAATGCCTTCTCGATTTTTGTTTTTGTACATTTCACAAATTTTGCAGCACACTGGCTATGCAGTTTTTTATGCAGTTCCTAATCTGTGTATACCTGGAAGAGATCTTGACACCTACATATAAAGGAGCTAAGAAAACCACATGGGTCCAGGGAACTCTCCGACCCTGCCACCAGCTGGCACAGTGACACCCAAGCTCCTTGATTCAATGTATCACTGATGTAAAACTACAGCTTGTTGATAATATAAATTGTATCCAAGTCTGGTAGCTTTAAATAATATTTATATTAAAATGTTCAAAAGCTAAATTATTATTATCTTCCAACTCTATAAATTTGACTTCTAGAAGAAGTAACCTCTTTCTTACATGCCATATTTTCATACACATAGAAATTATGCTGTAACACAATGTGCCTTCCACAGGGAGTGAGGGTTGTGACTGACCCTGGAACGACACCCGTGTTTTATTTACCTTTCTGCATTCTCCCTGTGTCCCACCTCAACCAGCCCGAGGCTTGTGGTAGGTAGGGGCTTATTAAAAGTTAGTTTCCCACCAAAGTGTTTTTCCAGTTTCTTTAAAAGGCTTTCTGGCTATGTTTTTGTTGCTGGAGTTCAATAGTAGTACCACCTCACTCTATGTGATTTGTCAGATACTAAAACACTGGAATTAGATTTGGGGTGGTATAGATATAATATGCATGCTTTCTTTAGTTATGGAGTGGAAGATTACCAAACATTCGGAGATGTGGGAAAGGTCTTTTAGTAATAAATATAAACCATCTATTTTTGCACAAAATAAAGATGTTCTGGAAATTATTATAATTATGTTTTTCAGTTAATGGGCTTGCCTATAACCAGCGCTTACTGTCTTCAGTGTCGATTTGGGGGAGGGGTATCATTGTTTTTTCCTCTACATTAAGGAACCCCCAAAGTTATGCCAACAAACGGAACTGGGTTAGAAAAGACAGATAAAGGCAATGCCTTAAACAAAGTATCTTTAATAATAGGGAATGTACTTTAAGAGCTGATTCTTTAATTTGGTTTCTTTCTTTAATCATAGTTTCCTGATCACTTGTTACACACCCAGTTCCCACAGTTTGTTGTGGTAAGTAAACTTAAGAGACCTTTTAATTTGGACTCTTTCCTTGGTTCTCAAGAGGAAGTAGTTAGAATCACTTCCTGTTCACCAGTTGAAATTCATTGCCTGAGATTCCACAGTTGTGCATAGTAATGTTCAACTCTCCTCCGTCTTTATAAATGCCTGCTGGTGAAGCTGAGAAGAAATTAACTACTTTTGGTAGCACTAGGGCCAGTCTACGTATTTGGCACATGTTCTGCTGCCTGGGGAGTAAGCTAAGGGAATGAGGTGACCCCTCCACACACAGGACCAGAAGGTGGGGTTGGGGTGGGGGAAGACCTTGCATCCTTGTTCCCAGTTTTAGTTTCTCTCCAGAGATTGATTATTCAATAGCTAAAATATTCAATTAGTCATTTAAAAAAGCTTATCATTTCTTCCTTTCCCTTCCTGTGGCTCACTACAGTCATTTCCTAATTTTCTTTCTATTTAAATTTTTGGGGCCCCTAATATTTCATTTTCAAACCACAGACTCTCAGGAGGACCTTAAAATCTTTCAAGTCATTACTCTGCTCAGTGCTTCAAAGTCTTCACTCATTCTCCACCAGGCTATCCATCTAGGCTTCCAAAAACCACTCTTTTGCAATGCCACTCATCATCTCAGATGCCTTTTATTGTCTGTTGGTTGCCAAAGATAAAAGTGGGAGTCCTTAGCCTGGATAACAGGGCTCCACCCAGGCTTTTGACCCCACACCATTTGTGCACAGCAGAGCCTGCTCTCTGGCCTCCCCACCAACTGGGATCACTATTTTCTAACCTATCCAGAAGTAGAGAAAGTTCCTAAGAGGTAATGGTGTCATGAGTGAGAGCACTGTCTATAGCAACAGGCAGAGTGGGTTCAAGTTCTAGGTACTAACTGTATGACCTTGAGCAGGTTATTAATTCTAAAACAGTTTCCTTAGAGGTAAAGTAGGATATTTGTGGCATTGAGGGAGCACATATGGTAGGGTTTATATGGTTTCTGTTACGTCGTAGGTGCACAAGAAATGTTAAATATCCTTATTTTCCCATCAGGTAAGAGTTTTAACCAAATATCATTGAAGTTCCCTTGCATTTAAAAGACTAAGTCCAAGAAACTTATTGATCACCTCTACTCCACTTATCCACAAGCCCAGCAACTCAGGGCTACAGGTTACATTTCATATTTCTATAGCTGACTCACATACCTTTAATCCTGCAGAATAACCTTGTGAAGCAAGTGGTTTCATTCTTGCTCAATTAATGAGACAACTGAGGCCCAGAAATGTCTGAGCCACACACTGTTCAGGCAACTCAACGGGTGTAGATGCAGCCTTTCTGCCCTCAGGCCTGTTTTTGTTTTTTTGTTTCCTTCACTGGGTGCAGAACTGTGCTTCACAGAGCCTCAGAATCCCATCCATTCAAGCCTCTGTTCTTCCCTTTTCAATTCACATGCACCAAGGAACATTCCTTATTGTCCCCACTATGCCATTTCAAAGGGTGGGACCCATTATGAAGTAGGTTAAACAAAGTAAACCCACTTTGGCTTGAAAGAAAATTAATTCAAATGAAACACAATTATTTAGGGAAGCCACTACAGAACTTTATGTATAAGGAACCATATTATATATAAGTGGTAATACAGCAAAGACTTAAGTGTCAATGGCAAGTCAGGCATCTTGCAGAAGTTACTTGTTCAAGTTACTTGTAGCTTTACAACTCTAGGTTAGAGAGAGGAATGCAATTTATTAGCTATGTTTCACATTTTTTTCCATAAATCTTTAAATATTTAAGCACCATAAAATTCAAGCATTTCACACAAATGTGGCAGCCAGCCTTGGTGGTTTAAAATGCATTATGCAGAGTTTCTGGCAGATAATAACAGTGACAATTACACAGTACTGATCTTTAACGTCAATTGTTTGTTCCCCACAGAACTTACCAGTAATGTCCCTGCAGGAAATTATGATTGTGTGTGTGTGTGTTTGGTACAGTAATTTTGAGGATATAAATAAAATAGCATTCTCCAAAACATTAAGAATTGACCAGGTATAATAATTCTAATCAGTAATTTATATGCCTTTTGAGAATCATAGCTCTCTATTGTGTGTTAAAAAAAAAACCCAAGGAATATTTTTCACATTGAATAATTAAATAAAAGATGTGGCCATAATCAATGCATGATGATAGCTATTTGTGAGAGAGATAATCTAACTTTAACTTTCAACACAAGAGTAGGTATTATGTCCTATCATCCTATTAGATAAATGAGGGAAGTGAGGTTGAGGGAGTTGTGGAACTGGCCCAGGTGAACCAGCTGGATAGAGATGGAGCTGGATCAAGATCTGCGTACAACCGACTCTAAAGTCATTTTCCCACCATTCTTGCAGCTGAACCAAGTAAAAGTTACAATTGTCAAATTATTACAGTGAGCTGATAAAACACAAATCTAATATAATTTCCTGGAACACAGATGGTTTGCTAATCTACAATAGGCTCCAAATAAAATCTTTGATAAAAATCTTAAATTTCATGGACCATTCCACTGGCTATTTTTCTAAGCACCATTACATACACACAAATTTTGTAGAGGCATACTTTTGCTAGGAAGCTCTTAAATCAAGAGGGAATAGTGGTTACAGTATGAACTGTCATGGCACAGTACCATGAAGGGTCTTCTCTAAGCCAAGTCTTTTAAATCTCATCATTTCTGAAATTTCATTTTATATTAAAAAATTATTTTTGAGGGGAAAAGTGATGACTAAAACTTAATTGTCTTTCTGCAGGAGTTGTAATAGGAGATTGTGGGTGTGCAGAATGTATAACATTCTGATATTTTGAAGTAAGAAATAGCTTATTTACCATTTTACCACTGAGGACCTTATATGCAGACCTGAAAATCTAATGCCTAATGAGGCTTGTAGAATTATCATTGAATAAAAGTGTTGGCAACAGTATGCTCAGTTCTGCTAGCACTGGACAAATGAAGTGTGGTCCCTGCCCTCCGGAGGCTTAGATTTTAGTTAGGGAATGAAGGACATGTGCTGAGACCTTAGAGAAGTACTGGGGAAACAGAAAGAGAGGCCAGCCCCACTAATTGTATTGGTGGCAGCTGAAGAGAGTCCAAATCTCCTTGAGGGAATTCACATGCATGCCCCTAATTTAGTCTTGAAAGATATGTAGGCATCTGCCAAGTCAGTAGACCAGAGGGAAGATGTGTCTGGTGTAAGAGAAAGAACCAAAGGCACAGAGGTACTGCGAGAGTTTGCAGAACGGTGTGCAATTCATGGTGGCAAGAGATAGTCCCAGGTGTAAGCCATGGACAGTTCATGCTGGACCTCTCACCCATTGTGAAGTCATTTGGACATGGGCAATGCAGTCATTGAAGGGTTTTAAGCCAAAAGATAACAAAACCAAGTTTGGATGGAACTTAGATGACAACTGAGATTTGAAACTGGAGGAACTGGTTGGAAGATGTCTACTGCAAGAGGGTAGTTGGAGAGTCTCGTTAGGTACAAAGAGGCTGGAGAGGAGGCAGCAATCCAGAGGAAGATGACTCAGGTGCAGCCTGGGGAGTTGGAGAGCAGAAGGAACGCGCCTCATGCAGCATGGAGGACCACCTGGTGTCCTTCCCAGAATAAGGATCCAGAGGGAAGAAGCATCTTAGTCCTCCAGCATGAGCCTCAGAGCACTAGGCAATCAAGGTACAGTCCAACCAGTTAGGGGGAGAGAGATTTTGATAAGGATCATTTACCAGTGATGGATTAGAACAAATTCATGGCTTTCAAGAGAAAGGGTAATTTAAAGTACATTGATATATAACCAGGTGAAAAAATAATGGCTTAAAATAAATATTATTTTTCCTATTCTGCCAATTTGACCATTTAAAATACTTGAAAGCCAGGAGGGCAGCATTTGGGCTATATTTAGAGAGGACTCCTGTGATGTCAGTATTCTGAACTACCTTATACTCACTGTCCCAGACACACTGTGGAGGAAAGTCCACTTAATGCAGTCTAGTGTTTGTTGTGTTGTATTGTTTGTTTTACATGTTTTAAAGTTTGCTAAGATAATATTATAATACCGGAGTTAAAGGATTTAAAATAATTTAGCAAACAAGATACAATTCTGATGTTCCATTTTTCACCCTTACCTCTAATAGGCTTAAATTTGAGCTACCCAGACATTTTTAACATGCATAGCATGGTTAAAAGGGGGGCAAATTAGCTAGGAATGTTTTGTTACATCAATAAAAAATTTCATCTTAAAATATACATTTATCTTTTTAGCAGAGTGTACCCTTAAAATAGATTGCCCTCCCACAGGCAGCCCATAGAAAACACATTTAAAATCTATTCTACAGAGAAGAACTCATTACTAACCAAAGTTTGGCAAGGAAAACATTTGTTATAAACAAAATTTTAATTGAGTTTTCTCTCAATTATTCTAAAGCACACTGAAAGTAAGCACTAATATGGATGTTACTTTCATGAAAAGTTCCTTCAGTTTTCTCCTAAACGACACTGTGAGGAAGATCAGTTTTCTGAAAATCTTTTCTAACAAATCTTCTGTTTTGTAGGATTAGACCATCAGATTCATGGCAAAATAGAAAACAGACCTTTTCCTATTTGAAAGTGACATAGCTTCTAAACTTTTATAAAAATTACCGATGCCAAATGTCAAATGACTGCCTCGGTACAATACTCATAAAAGGTATGTTTTTAAAATTGGCAAATTGGGATGTTCCTGTAAACACAAATCACAGGAATATAAAATTCAAGTTGTAGATCATCTTTGTTTCTTTTAAAGATTGTCCATACCTTCCTGGGGGGGGGGGTGACCCTTAAATGAATTTTCTTACCTAAGCTTAATTAAGTCGGCCCTTAATTTACTCCCAAGTGCATAATGATAGCCCTGTCATGTCCCCAAGTGAGCTGGCATTATGTATGTGGAGAGAAAGTGTCCATTGTGAGCTGTAAGGAAGCTCTGCAGGTTTTCCTGGGGCGGGAGAGAGATGCTTTATAGAAACCCTGTGCCCGCCTGAGTAAGCCCCATGTGGCTTCAGTCCCATTAGCACTGAGGACCCCGACTGGGGAAAAGCGGTCTGTTTGGGAGCTCACTGCAATGGAGAGTCAATTTTTGTGAATCACTACTTTAATATTCATTAATAGCTTTTAGGCTCCTAATCCCTTATTGAATATATTTTTTTCCATAATTGCTACTTTTCAAAAGGGTTGCCAAAGTAGGCATTTCCATTCTCTGAAAAATGCAGAAGAGAACATAATGTTTTTATATTCATCTGTGATGTGTTTATGCTAATGTCGCAGCTCTAGAATACAGCGACTGTGGGCCTTCCTGGCACAGTGATTCATTCTGCTTTGAAATGAACTGTTAATGCTGGCAGTGTGGATTATTTTTTTTTCTTTTTCTTTCTTTCTATTTTTTTTAATCTCTTTGGGTCATCATGGTTTTATGATTATTTAAAGTGCGTGGAAAAAAATAGATTACAGAGGAAATCATTTTTGAAATGTTGAAAATCTCTACTTTCTGGTTTCATTTGTTGCCCTGTTTTTTTTCCTGTAAAATCCATCCAAAAGCCACTATATTATAGAGTAATTGACTTCATTGGTTTGAGATGCTGTTAACCAATGAATGAAATTTTCAGTAGCATAATTTGTAATCTTGCTTTAACCATCCACTCACCTTTTAGGGGATTCACATATTTTCAAATAAAGCCTATACTCCACCATCCCCAACAAAGCAAGAATATGTGGGCTTCATCTAGATTAGTGGGTAAAAACAAATCCACCATGTAACCTTTGCTTAATCAGTAAGGAAGGAGGGAGGAGGGCCTGGAGGACTATGGGAATGACCACCTGGAGACAGGGAACAGCTGAAAATGAAGTGGGGTCCAGAATGAGCACCAGTGAATCTCTTAGCACAGCCTGGGAAGCCTGAGCTCCCTCCGAAGTGTCTCTTGGCACACGCTGGTGAGTTCCGCCTTCTCTAGCTATACTTCACACAGACCTGGCACCTGCTGATTTTCTGGCGCTGGGCCTGGCCTTCTTTCAAGGTGTCTGGTGAGGGGGCGGAGGAAAACTGCATGTCTGGTTTCACCGACGTCAGCCAGAAGCTGTACTCATTTGCGAAAAAGTGGCAAGTTCCCTGCCGGCCCTGGCATTCAAGGAACGGTGCCGCTCTGAAATCTTCCAGGCAGCTGCCAGGCGACATGAGGGCCTGCCCTCCTCCTTGGTCCCCAGCTCCTGTGTGCTACGCAGGCAACAAGAGAGAATTAGGGCTCAGATACACGCCCACAGCCCATACCCACTTCGGGGCCATGCCCAGGTCTGGGCCCGCTGTTAACATTTTTCTGTAAATCATTCCATAAAGAACAAAGTACAACCCGCTGGGAAGTAGTAGGAAGCACACAGCGGAGCCAATTTTGCCAATAGCTAAAGCAAATCCATTTTCTAAATTCTACCAAAGTGATAAAAAAAAATTGACAATAAAAAAATAATAGTGGCCCTGTATCTCAATCTACTGTGGTTTGTAATGGCGTTCATGACCTCATGTCCTACTGCTGTCTGCACAGAGTGAGCAAAATTACTGTCCAACCCAGACAGAAAGGGCCAGAGAAGGTGCTAGAACACAGCAGGTGTGACAAGACCCCAGGGCAGGGCACTCACCATCAGGAAGGAGTACCCGATCCAGAGGCTCCTCCAGGCCCGTGGACACGGGGGGATGGTCTGGTCCTGGCTGTGCACCGCCACCGCCTGTGCGGGGGCCTCGCACACGGCACAGCGGCTGATGTACGGGCGGATGTCCTCCTCTGCGAGGGGCATCATGGGGAGGGGCGCTGCGCTGGCTAGCCAGTAGGACTTGTCGTTCCTCCGGGCGTAGTGGCACACTTGGTGGATGTTGCAGTAGGCAAAGGGCAGGGTGCTAAACATCGGAAGGCAAGACCCCGCCAGACCTCCGAGCAAAGGAGAGACACCAGTGTGAGTCGCCCGTGCTTGCGAGGGGACCTTTCCACACAGGGCATGCGCAGACACCTGCTCAGGTCTGTGGAGGCTCACGTCACAGCCTGCTCCGTGGTGGTGAGACCGCGTGGGCCAGCCCTCATCTGCTCTTCCCTCCCCCGTGAGCCCAGCAATGGGCAGGTGCTGGAGGTGCGCAGGATCATCTGTCTAAGTGAAGCTCAGAGCCCAGGCGGAGCAGACAGGCAGGCAGACAATGAAAATTCAGCCTGACAACCCTATGAAGGAGGGGTACCTGGGGCTCTGGGAGTGACAACTAGAGGAGTTATTTGAAGCTGGGACTTGAAATTTATATATATATAAGACGTCAAATGTTCCTTCTTCCTCCTGTCCCGTGCTCAAGGGAATTGTGATGGGAAAGGTCACAGCTGAACCCAAGGAGAAAGGATGTGTGAGCAGCTGTCACCCTAGGCTTGTGCCTGCAACTCTCTTTCTAACATTGGGGTCACAGTCCCCTTGGTGCATCAATTCCCACTGCCCCTCAACCAGTGCTGTCTTGGAAAGACAGTGTTTGTCAGAACCCAGTACCTAAACCCTTGCCTGCAAGTTCTGCAGTTTAACAACAAATTGGTGCTGGCAGGTGCTATGAGGTATAACCACCAGGCGTGGCCATGTGCCATTGTACATGTATGAAATCCAGGAACTCCCCAGGTCCTGATTAAATAGTTCACATTTGGGAGTAAAAACTGCCTTTTATGACAGAGTTGTATTTACCTTATTGTGGAAAAATTGTTTATTTTATCTTATTTTTTATGAATAATAGGTGGCCAGATAATAATAACTATAAACAGAATAATTTTCTTTGATACCTCCAAAGATAGTTGGCAATTAGCATAGTAGTTTTTGAAGTAATAATAATCTCATAAAAGATGAACATTGATGAATCTGTAATATTAACCCTGAGGTATTATTCTCCAATGGCAAGGGAATCTTGTGATATATCCTTACCAAGGTCTTGATTGTGAGCTTTCTCTTGGCCTTCCAGGTATAACAGACTATACCCGGTCCAGAGCTGGGGCATGCCCACAGGACAGGAGGGTTCTTGAGCTGTCTGACTGTGGAGTACTAGGAGGAAGCCACTGAGGTATCCAGGGCCAACTCCTCTGGGCCCAGGATCACCAGGGGAACCAGGAGGGCCTGGAGCAGGAAAGAAAAGAAAAGCTTAGGGGGTTCTGTTCAACAAACATTTCCAAGAACCTCTATTCCAGTGCTGTACTGAGCACTCAGAAGAGGGAAGGAAGCAGGACACAGGCCACTTCCAGGAGTATCCCCCTCACACAAGTGCAGTATACACAAACACAACTCCTCCAGCAAGTGCCACAACAGGCATAAACACGACTCCTCCAGCAAGTGCCACAATAGTCACAAACACGACTCCTCCAGCAAGTGCCATCTTCTTTCTGCATCTGCAGGTGCCGCAGTCATGGGTTCTGCCAACCACAGATTGAAAATACTCCAAACAAAAAATTGCATCTGTACTTAACATGCAGACTTTTTCCCCTGTCCTTATTCCCTAAACAGCAAAGAATAACAGCCACTTACATAGCGCCTACATGGTATAAGATATTAAAAGAAGTTTAGAAATGATTTAAAGTATACAAGAGGATGTGCATAGGTCATGTACAAATAGTATGCCCGAGGAAAGCAGCCTTGGATGTTGGCACCTGCAGTGAGTCCTGGAACCAACCCCAGGTCGTGAATCCTCAGGGATGATTGTATTTGGTACCAGCAACTTCTAGGTGCTTGAGCTACATTCTCATAAAAAGAGAAAACAGGGCAATCCCTGCCCTCCTTGAGCTTCATGCCACTTGAGGAAAAGAAATGACAATAAGCATAACAAAATGGGAAGTTGTAAAGCACCTTAGGAAGTAGTAAGTGCTGGCAAGAAGAAGAACATTTAAGTGTGGTCTCCCTGCCTTCTCAGACCTGGCTGTTGGCAGGCCTCCTCAAAGTTGGTCTTCATACAAGTGCCAGGCCTCTCTGGCTCCAAACACCAAAACATTATAGGTTCCACTCTGAGGAGGGGGCTTGGGATCCACACACATCCATCTATCTCTCTTTCTCCCTCTCTCTCTCTCTCTCTCTCTCTCTCTCTCTCTCCTGGGGGTTGAGCCACAGGGTGCCTGCCATACCGCTGAGCTAACCCCCACACCTTTTTTTTTTCCCCAGGCCGGTCTTGAACTTGCAAAGTTCTCTTCTTTTATATGGGAGTGAGGTGGAAGGAAGGGCTAGTTTTAGAATTCTTGTTGGCAGATGGGAAATAAGCACTCAATAAAAAGCAAGCAAGGTCTGTCCCCTCTGACACCCCAAAGGGGCTGACCTGTGACCAGGCCAATTGGCTCTTTCTAATTGCCAAGAACAAAAGGTGAAGTTAGACTCTGAAATGAAAGGTGTTTTGTTTTTGCTTTAATCAACTTGTTCCTGCAAGACTGACAGGCTCTCCCCATCTACACTGTAAATCAGAGATTACTAAGTGGCTGCTTGTGGACTGAATCAGGTCTGCTCATGTGTTTTGTTTGACCTGTAAAGATTTCACAATTCAAAATTTCATACTTGAAAGAAAAGCATGTTGGATGTGCATCTGTATAGGGAACAACTGTCCAAAGCCGCATCTTCTAGAACCAAGCTCCACTCTGCTGTAGGCACTGTCCACCCAGCCCTCCTGGTTCATTACTGCTCATTACCAACCAGGTGTGGACTTCCCTTGACAGATGCTCTCCAAAGATAAGATTGTGTCTTAAGTATTTGGGTCCTCATGCCTGAAATGCTACCTGCTTGTTTTTTTTTTTCCTCTCTATTTTTTTCCTTCTGATGTGCTGAGGATGGAACCCAGGGTCTTACATATGCTAGGCAAGTGCTCTACCACTGAGCTACACGCCCATCCCCTGCATTATAGTTCAGATTTATATTCTGAAGAGTCATATCTCCCCTCTTACCTACTCCCCCAGTTTTTTTCCTTAAGAGCCCTGTATTCTATATATATATGTATCAGTAGCTATTTCAATAAGATCAAGTTCCAGATGCCAGGGTGTCTGCCTATAATCCCACCAACTTGGGAGGCTGGGAGAGGAGAATCACAAGTTTGAGGCCAGCCTGGACAACTTAGCAAGACTCTGTCTCAAAAAATAAGACTGGGGATGTAGCTCAGAGGTAAAATGCCCCTTGGTTCCATTTCCAGTACCTACCCACCTATCTACCTACATACATACACACGTGGATAAGAAGTAAACTCAAAACACCACAGGCCAAGCCATACAGCCAGTGACGCAGGTTGGAAACACTCACTGTGCCCAAGATCCTCAGCAGTCTCTCAAGGGCAATCCCACAGTAAACCAGGCTGATGGGCCCTTCAGGACCTTGAAAACTGAACAGCTGCAATAGCCGAGCCATTCGTGATGACGCAGAGCAGTCTGGGAGAGTGCTTCCAGGATTTATGAACTAGATCTGTTGGATGGTTTTGCATCCATTTGAATATGGGAGACATAGCCACCGGCTTCTCATGCCTCCCTAGTACCTGCTGAGCTGGTTTCTAAGGCAAATACTTCTAAGAAAATCCTGTTTGCAAAGCTGCTTGAGAGGACAGAGCATCTTAGGTCCCCAGCATCAGAGAAAAGAGGAGAAACAGAAACCCTTACCTGGGGCTCCAGGGCAACCAGCCTCTCCAGCATCACCTTTGTGTCCAGGAGGTCCAGGAGGCCCAGGGACACCATCATTGCCCCTCCTGCCATCCAGGCCAGGTTCTCCTTTGCACCCTGTGGACAAATTCATGACAGTGGTAAGAATAGCAAGGCTCCTGGGGCCATTGCCATGTGTACGAAGGTGCCAGCCCAGGGCTTCCTTCTTGACTGTGCTGCGCCAGTTCATCTATTCTTCTTGGCTATGAAGCTACAATTATGCCATCTCCACTTTGCAGCTGGGACAAAGGAGTCTCTTCATTAAGTAGATGAGCCTGTAAAGGACTGGGCCTGACTCAAAGCAGGAGACCAGGAGCCATTGAGAAAGAGCTTTTCCCGTTTTCTTCGATATTATTGTATTTTTCCTTTAGAAAAAAAACTTAAACATGTATGGCTTTTATAATTACATATTATCCTCTGGAATGAATTTTTTTAAAGCCTCAATGAAGGAATGAGTGAAATTTAATAGGATTCAGTTGGGGGTTAAGTTAAATTTGGAGCCAGAGATTTTTAAAACAGCTTTTCAATTGAGTGTTTACAATGGGCGAGGTATCAGGCTAATCCCTTCACGTGGGTTATCCAAGTCACTCTTCCCAGCAGTCACAGAACAAGGTATACTCTTATGCCAATAGCTAAAATCAGCTAGCCAGGCTGGTGACCTGAGCTGGGTTCACAAAAACTGGCTGCAACAATAACTAAGAAAACGGCGAAAGAAGCATGCAACACACAGAAAGACCTTTTGCTTGCAGGAATCAGGGTTGGCTCTTGACCTTAGGGATCCGTTGGAAAGAGAGAGAGAGAATGCTTGAAGCCAACCTATTTATTGAGGGAAAAGACATTCGAGAAAGTTCAACCCAAATAAGGCAAGGGATTAGGTTTCAGGGGGTTGCTTGGTGATGTCCTGTGGCCAGCAGATTGACATCTTGGAAGGCCACACCCATCTCAGGTGCCCTGTGGGATCAAAGACGGAGCAAGTGAAAAGGGCACGTCTCACAGTGCAGTCAAAGCAGCAACATCTGTCCGGTCCCCTCATGTGCTCAAATGTTCATAGCTCACACACACAGCCCATGGCTGGCTTGCAACAAGTAGGGAGAAGGCTCAGGCCATGGAGTCCATCAGGTATGGTGAGCAGCAAACCTGGCCCCAGGAGGCCAGGTGTAAAGGTTGCTGCGACCCTAGCCCCTCCAGGGTCTAGGGACATTCTTAGAGGATGAAAACTTGGGGACTATTGCAGCAACCATGCTCCTGGAGGGGTTAAGTGCCTGGTTACTTCTTTTGTCCAGACATCAATGAATTGGCCAAGTCTCCATTTGGTCAGAGTGGCAGACGTGGTCATTGTCTTTGGGAAAGTTACTGCTCCAGCTGCCTGAATTACAAGCCCTCTTCTTGTTTGTTGTTGTTGTTATTGTTATTGTTATTTTGTTTGTTTTCTCTCTGTTCCACAAATTAACTTATTAGGGACTGATTCGTGTTGCTCTCCTCTTAAATTGATATGTTGAAGACCTAACTCCCAGTGTCTTAGAATAAATGACTAAGGAACAGGGCCTTTGAAGAATTGATTAAGTTAAAATCAGGCTGTTCAGGTGGGGCATAATCCAATCTGACTCTGTCTTTCCAAGAAGAGGAAACTTGGACATACAGAGGGGCACTGGGGATGTATGTACCTGGAATGCACAGAGCAAAGGCCATGTGAGGACATGGAAGACCACCATCTGCAAGCCAAGGAGAGAGGCCTCAGCAGAAAGCAAACCCACCAACACCTTGAAGTTGGACTTGCAGCCGCCGGGGTTGTGGTAAAATTCTCTGTTGTTTCAGCTACTCCACCTGTGGCATTTTGTAATGGTGGCCCAAGAAAACCTTAAAACGTACCTTAAAACTAACCTTTAAGTCCAAGGGGGCTCTCTTCAGTGGCTTTGCATCTTGCCTCCTTCCTCTGCTCTCCCACAAAGCTGAGGATGCCAATCAATCTCTGCAGTTCACTGAGATCCCCCCCTCCCATTTAAGAAACTAGTTTTGCCCATTGACTTGGGCCTCAGCCCATCAAATTGATGAATTAAGAAAAGACAGAAACCCAAATCCTGTGCCTTAAATCACCATCCCTGTCAAGGAAAGGATGCATGGAGGCTTAAGGAGGGTTGATTTGGTTTTGGAAAGCCAGCAGAAATCAGATATTCCCACAGAGTTTCCTTCTCTGTCCTGTCTCTGAAAGGCTCATCCCTGAGCCTCTTTTGCCCGAGACCAGGCCCTAATTGCAATTACCTGTAGTCCAGTCCCTGGCCTCTGACCTTTCCCTGCCACCCCATCTGAGAAACATCCTAATGGCACAGGTACTGCTGGTTCTGTGAACAGAAGCCCAAAGAAGTCCTCAAACAGTGGTCCTCCCACTTTGCCTCAACAGGGCTGGGGTGGGGCTTAGGAATCTACATTTCCAAGTTCCTACTCGCTGCTCTTTCCAGGGACCACATTTTGAGAATGACTGTTCCCAATTATAAATTAAAATTTAAAGCTAAGCTCTTTCTGGTAATAAAAGTGGTAGTATATTCTGAAAATCCTATATCCCTGCCTCTTCTTTTTGTTGTTGTTGTTATTATTATCTTTTTCATATTTCTGCCTAATCTTTAAGCCAGAAATTCTACCCGGAATTTATCTTAAGGAAACAACATTGACACTAACAATAGCAAGAAGATGTTCTGTTTATCCGGTCAGTTCTAAGTGCTTTCCCTGATATTTACTCATGTAAATCACACCGCCAGCCCTTTGAACAGATGCAGAAACTGCATCACCGAGAGCTTATGTGGCACAGTACAAGTAGTCCAGACCCAGAATCTTCCTTCCTAATGTTAGTTTGTTCTCCTTTACAATCAGGGCTGCTTATGGGTGATTATGGGTTGCTTATTCATTACCCAGAAAGATATTCATTACCAGTTGTTTATTATGGTGAAAAATGGAAACACTTCAATTACAGCAGTTCCTTGAGGTGGGTGCCTGTAGCAGCAGCAGTACCACCTGGGAACTTGTTATGAATAAGGAATCTCAGAGCCCTCTAACAAGCCAGGAGTCCAGGGTGGGGCCTGGCAATCTGTGTTTTCACAAGCTCTCGGGGGATTCAGATGCTCCATCAAACTTGAGAATCAAAGCCTTAAATATCCCTTGTGACCCTCCGTCCCTGGCTCCAGGTTAAGTTCCACTGTTATGGATTCCCACATTACCCTTTCTTAACACTCCACACAGCTACGCTAATTCAGTGAATCCCTTCATTTTCTGCTAGCCTGTTGCTCCAAAGGGCAGGGCCTTGTTGGATTAATTTGTTTCTTGCAGAGCAGCTGGCACTAAAGCAATTAATAAATAATTCATGAATGTGGTAGTTAAATAAATTATGGCACAATGAAATAATGCAATATTCTGATTAAGGGAGAAAAAAGATGTCATCCTACCCGGGGAAGCAGAGCCTACCTGGGGAAGGGAACCTCATCTCCCCAGGTATGAGCTGCCATATCCCTTTCCACTAGCTTTAAAGAGAACATCAGTTCTTTGGGAAGGACCCCTACACTGAGCTCAGATATTCTCAGAGCCCCTGACAAGATGATTTCAGCATACAGCCACTGTGCTGTTCTGGAAAGGGCTGGGAGGAAACATTGCAGATCAAAGGCATCTGTGAGGAGAAAGCATTAGACCTCTGGGTGGAGGATCCCTATCTGTTGCCAAGTTATACTCAGCTGTCGCCTGCTTAACCTAGGCAAGAGCGAACCAAAAGTTTTGGCTTTCTCTGCAAGTCCAAGCTCCAGCACCTGGTAATGAAACTGGCTTAGGGAAAGAGAAGGTTTGAAGTAAAACAGGAAGAAACCAGCAATGCCATGGAGTGGGGAGGTGTTTCTTCTAGTGGCGGCTATTTCTACACAACCAGCCAAAAGGGTGGTATACCCCCACCGCCACACACACCTGCAAAATTATCACCTTCAGAAAAGCACGGAAAGCAAGCAATAGGTGCTGCAGGTGACCATGTCGCTCAGGGTCAGGCCACTTTAGACACTCCTGATAGACTTGTCTCCTTAGTAACTGGATAGGATGATAGCAAGGAGAGACCAGATGGGAGAGGGGAACCGGAAACTATTGAGGGTGAAGAGGGCTCCTTCATAAACAGGAATCCAGAAGCTGTATAAAAGAAGAGGGGGGCTCAAAAGACAGTAATGGCTTCAGAGCAGGCGCACAATAGGATAAAAAGAGCCCCAGGGGGACTGAACTACAGGGCAATGCAGTTCACACCTCCAGACCCTGGAGAGAGGGTGATGCTTCGCCTGGAAGAACTAGGCAATATTTTTGTTTTGTTTTAGCAGTATTTACATTCTGTGGCAGAGAGGTGGCCTTGGGATATCCCTACTGCCAGCCAGCAGGGTCAGGGACACTAATAAAGAGAGGGCATAAGAAGCCAGGGATGGGCCCCTGCAGAAGAGCCCTTCTAACCTACATCAGGAGGAATTAGAGAATAAAGGTGATCACACCTGGGCCCACATAGCAAGCAGAGCCTCCTTAGGGAGCTCAGTTTTTGGAGAGAGAGTTTGCCTATGCCCAGGATCACTATCAGGTGATAGCACACAGAATTTACCCATTTGATATTTGTTCTTCTCAATTACTATTTTTGATTGTTTTCCAAATCTGCCATGATGGGTGAATCCAACCATCCATCGGCTCTCAATTTTGATGTTGAGACATGGAAGTGGTCTCAACCCAGCTGCCAGCCACAGTCAGACGTGGAAAGTTTAAAAGCACTAACAATCAGGCCCCACCTCCTTCCATATTTATTGGTCTCACATGAGGCTGGGCACCAGTCCCTTTTTAAGCTCCTTCAGGCAACATGGACCTACAACTAAGACTGAGCCACTATGGAAGGCGTTATTCTTAGCTGAATCTTTTAAAGACAGCATTCATATAATAAAGTTAGGGTTTCTCAAACTTGAGCTTGTATGCAAAAATCCTGGGGATCTTGTTCAAACAAAGATTCTGCTACAGCAGTTCTGGTAGTGGGGTTGAGTTGCTACTATTCCCATACTCAGAGCATCAAGAATAGAGTTGATTCCTAGTTCCCAGGTTAATAGACCAACCTACCCCACTGTGCTCCTATCTCCTTCCTGCTGGACGATTCTGGCTCCTCAAAGCCCAGTCTTTACTTATGTCTCTGCTCCAATGCCAGCTTTTGCTGGGTTTTAGCAGTCCTGCAATCCCCCACATGGATTTAACCTCTCTGTGCCCTCTTCTCCTGTGCCATTGGGCTGCAACTCCATTAAAACACAAATTACAATCTGCCATTGAGTCACGTATGTTCCACTGGCTATTTCTGCCATAAGGCTGGGAGACCCTGGAGGAAGAAATCATCCTATTTATCTTTGAATTGCCCACAATAGCACTGTAGTTTACAAAGTGTAGAGGGAATCTGGAAGTATTTGCTGAATTGAATCTGCTGGACCTCACTGCAGGTCACATCTTCCACTTGTGAGAAGTACTTCTAAAAAAGTTGTTGGAGGGGGGAACCCTAGATATTGCAAACATTTGCACAACATATATGTTTGGGTTTTAAAATGAGAGTGTGTGAGTTACACTGATGGGTACAGAGCTTTACCCTGGTTTGAGTGACAGAGAAAAAGACCTTAAGTAAGCACCAACCCAATTCCAGTGTTCCCAGGCTCTTAAGGAAAGTCACTACAACTGACACTGAGATTGTGCACAAATACAGAAACAATGCAGCAAATACCAACAACAAAAACCTCTGTTATTTTGAGGAAGGCTCCAGAGATGTTTTGCTTCCACTTGAGAACCACACAGACTCCCAGTAAGGGGCCACTTCCTGGATGCTTAGGAATCACAAGAAAAACTGGTGGTAGAAAACTCAGTTCTACTTCTAATTCCTTTCTCTGTGAACCAAGAAGAACCCAAATCACAGCTGGGCAGAGAGGAAACAAGAGAGGGACTGGCCTTCTAATAATCTGCACACAGGTTTTCTGGACTCATGGGCACTACCAACTGGTCTCAAGAAAGCAGTGACTTCTAGATGCCTAGCCTCAGACTGCCTGATCTCTTTGTAAATTACTCATCATGGAGGGGATCTGTGAGAAGAAAATAAACCACTTGGAGAATGCTGTTCGCAGAATCGTTCAGTTTAAATACCCTTAATGATCCTGCTGCCTTGACAATGGTCACACCAGGTACAGTTAGGTTGAGTGAATAATGCAGTCATTGCACAAAGTCAGAGCCACCCTCCTTCACCCTAGCCTTCTTTTAAGTTACACGTCTTCTCTTCCTTCTTGAAGGCTCCGTTTCTGCTCCACCAAAGCCCAACTCAATTGCTTTTCACTTAAAACCAAGTCAATAGCTATTCAAGGTGATTGATAGGGCATCCCCTAGACATTCAGGATGCTGTCTTGCCAAGGGGTTCCAAACTCTGCATCCAGAGCTAGCCAACTATAAAGGATTTAAGTAGGAGCTCAACATAGAACACTTCTCAGAGGTATGTGGATCTAGTAGTGCATGATTAAATCTTTAGATCTATGTGGAAATAAATAAGGAAATTTTCACTTTTACTAGTGGTTTAGGCTCCATACAAAAAGCTATACAATAAAACACCTAGGCTTTCATTTCAGCAATATGTGATGCAAATAACAAATAAAGTAAGGCTCATACCTAGTCCCGGGGGGCCTCTCTGTCCTGGGAGCCCCACAGCTCCTTCTGGTCCTCTTGTGCCTGGCACTCCAGGAAGCCCTGGGATCCGGGGACAGGCATCCACATCTGCAGGTGGCCCTGGTTCACCTGGAATTGGAATCACCCACTGTGTGACGGGTTCAATGTTGATGAACAAGATCCTTCTGCACTCTCCAGCTAAGGAGAGGCTTCTGACACTACCCTGAAATGTCAACAAGAACCTCCAACAGTCTGGTGCCCACTCCGTGAAGGCAGGAGCTTGTCTTGTTCACTGCAGGGACTCACAGAAAACTTCCAGAAAAGTGTCTGTGGCATAAGTTACTGACTTGTTATAACTGGTGAATGGGACATCGGAGGAAGCAGGAGTACAGTTGGCTAAGAAAATGATAATTGTCTTTATAGGATTTCTAATCTTTGGGCGATTTAAAAAAAAAACTGGGGTGCTAATCACAGATGGCATTCCAAGAGGGACTTATGGGTTCCTAAAGTTCAGTTTAGTGTGTCCTTAATTCATTACTGTATTAGTAGTCAAGTAGATTTTCCTAGTGTCCCTTACTAAATTTCAGGATTGCTAAGGGCTCTAACACAGTGACATTTCAACCTTGAAAGAATTTTGGAATAAGCTGGGAGAACTCTAAAAATATTCTGAAGCCAGGATGTGTAACTTTCACAATGTCCTTAATTTGGCTGCACAAAAAAAAAAAAAAAAAAAAAAACCCCAGATGGAGCGCTTTTCAAAAGACCCTTAATCTAGACTTATTGCCCAGGTGTTCTAGGGTGAAACCTGGCGTTTGTATGTTTTTAATCACCCCAGGTGACTCCAATGTCAGCCAGGCCTGAGAAGCACTATTATGAAGCTTAGTTCTGACTTCAGCACCTCAGAGTCATCTGGCAAATTTGTTCACCAAGGTTTGTGAGTGGAGGTCTGAGGTAGGGTCTGGCATCTGCATTTCTAACATCTTCCCAGGTGAGGTGAATGATGTTGTTGACCTGGGAATCTTACCTTGAGAACCATCACACTAAAGAGCTGATGTTTTAAAATTCTTGGTTACACTTACAACTTCAAGACATTCTTTTTTCTCCTAAAACTTCATTCACTTGCCTTGCAAACATCCCACAAGGGATAAGAAATAACATTGAGCAATAAATAGCAGCCAACACCTACGGAACACTCTCAGGCACCAGGCCTGCACTAAGTGCTTCGCTGCTAGATTCCCTCAACAGCAACATGTGGTGCTACTGTTATTAGAACGTCATAGGTAAGAAAACTTGGTGAATGACTTATGAGCACACCACTAACAAGTTGAAGAGTCAACCACATGTCATACAGCTTCAAGAACTCTTAATATCTGTGTGATGAATTCTAAGAAATGAACGCTTAATAACACACCAGTTGATTAGCTATAGTTTCTTAAAATTCATCCAAATGTGCATCATAATTTTAATAATAGCTGAAAAATATACAAGAAAATTCTAGCACAATGTGGCCACCATCACAAGCTCTGGTCTGCACAACTCTTAATGTATTGTATAAATTGCACTTGAACTCTATAGACTCTTTGGAATGTAACCCTTTATAAATTATGGTTATGAAGCCACAGGCAACACAGGGAAAGATACATTTTCACAATCTGTCTAGTTTAATGTAAAATTTGGCTTTTCCACTATGAGTGATTTGGGGAAGATGCATGGGAACATTTCTGATTTTCCCTGAATCATCTTGGGCCTTTCATGAGTGATTGGGGGATGGAGACTTGGCTGGTATTTTAGATTTAGAATTTTGATGTTATCTTCTAATGAATTTCTACATACAATCACCACAGAGAGAGAACTGAAATGAAAACCCATTAAATGTATGGCTATGATTTTTAAATATTAGCAGTTAAAATAGCAAGATTTAAATATTATTTTACTTTGCTTTTTACTTTTTAATAAACCAAATGCTGAAAGAAAGGGACCAAGGTGTCTCTTCTAAGGACCCTAAAAATAATATATAGCATCCGTATTCAGGGCAATTTTCATTAGGGTTTATAACAGATGCTTGGAAAGAGTAAATGCAAACATTCACGATTTTTTCTTTTTTTCTTTTGAGAAACACTTTGTATTCTCTTTGAAAGTGCCAGACTCTCTTACACACAAATACACTTTGTTTTTATGTCACAAGTGAATACTTTCTTTGTAACACAAAGAAGTGTGGTTCTTGAAAAGAGACTCCAGGGTATGACAGGAAAGGTTTGTCACAGTACCTCATTGGCTGGCAAGGGCCCGTCTTTTAATAATGTCCACACTACTTATTTTAGGGATGTTCTGTACATTTATATTGTAAAATCCAGAAAAGGAACTTACATGAGCACGTGCTTTGGAATTTGAGGGTGGGAGCACTCAAACTTGGTGCCCCGTGGAAAACAATACATGTGACATGCCTTGGCCACCACAGGGCTAGAGACATTAGGATGCTCTCATACGAGGTCACTACGTCTGCAACAGGGAAGCAAAGCATTGAACCCTGACAGAGTTACAGCACCCCTCCATAACAATGGATCGGCTTATTTCACAAAGACAGCAAAATGACAGAGAAAGCAGACTGAGGAGAAATGATCAATTGCACAGCCGTGCTTACCTCTGGGACCTGGAGGGATTCGAAGCCCAAAACGAGGCCGCGCGAAGGTTTTCACATGGTGGAAAGAGATTTTAAATTTGTGAATTAGGACAAAAATGACAAAGATTGTTTGAGAACATAAATAATAATTTGGGACAGCATCAATGACAAGCAGAGTGACAGCACCTTATTTACATGAAAATGTCCACATCAATGTGACTGACAGGAATAGCTATGATTCTGTACTAATGGAGTTTTCATCTCTAGAAAGACTTGAAATGCAACTCTCTGGAGAAATATAAAATTCTGGTTGATTTCTTACGGCAAGTGTGCCCTGAATTAATGTGGATAGGAATTCTCTCCATTTAAAAACCTTTTGAAAATTCTGTACTAATTTGCCAAATTTCCTAGGCTATGCACAGAAAGGGAATATAAAAATAAACCAAGTGCAAGTTCACCATCTTTGTACTAAGATGCCCTTTATCTGTTCTCTAGAGTGCCTTTTTCGGAGACTGAAGAATATTATGAGTTACCACTACGTTGCTTGATCTTGACCCAGACTCTTGAAAGACATTACTCCTGCCAGCTTCACAGGCACACATCTGTTTCACTCTATAGAGTTAAATTAAATAGCCTTTAACCTTCAAAGGAACTAATGCACTTTATAGGAAGTAGTTAAATGGAACACCGGGTGAAACCCATGGAAATTCATGGAAAGGTAGTGAATATACAATACCAACAAACAGTGATCAAATCCATCTTTGCCTTTTGTGAGAAGGAGCATATGTTTGCTTAGAAATAGTGTATATAACAGCATCTCTTAATTTTTGAACTCACTCATTTTGATTAAAAGGATTAGTCTATCAAACACGAGTCTTCATGATACAGCCTGAGAATGGCGTATTTTTTATATCAGAAGGGCTTAATTTCAGAATAGTCAACTACTTTCCGAGTGATGACTGTCAGTACAGTTTAGGTTGCTCAAGGGATGGCCATGCATGAGAAGCTTACCTGGAGGACCTGTGGGCCCTTTTCTACCTGGAGGTCCAGGTAAACCCTTCTCTCCAGGTGGCCCCAGAAGACCAGGTGGCCCTGGAGGCCCTGGAAACCCCATTGGTCCTAAAACAAATGTAAAAATGAGGGCGCTGGAATGAAGCGCTATGAAGACAATGACATTTGATTGACTTTAGACACCCACTCCAAGAAAGGGTCCCAGAGTAGAGATCAGCCTCGAGTCTGTCCACAGGGCAGCCAGGAGCTGCCTGTCTGAAGGGAACACAGTGGTCAGTGAGAAGGATGGAGGAGGACATGTCCACGACCAAGATGAAACTGAAGGAGAATGAGAAGCCCGTGACCCTGAACTTCACCTGGTGTCAGTCCGACGATTGAACCCCGGGGGAAAAAGGAAAGAGGTTTGATGTGGAGGAGCCAGGTGGCCCAGCTGGGGGTCCTATCTCCCTCTTGACACTTTCTTAATTCTGGAACCTCCAACGGCTCAATTCTTCCCCTTCCATCAAGTCCTCCTGTTTCTTAGATTTCAGGCCAGGCCCCATCTCCTCCTCGAGGCCCTCTCTGGAATCCCAGCCAAAGCTCAGCAGTTCCCTCTGGGCTCCTGGTTCAGAGCACTGAGCCTGATTATGGAGGTGTGAATGTCCGTCCTCCATTGGGACGCAGCACTGAATGAAAGTGGGCTGTTTAAATCTGTGACCGCTGCATTCCTGTGGTGTCTAATACGTGCTGATGAAACGGAATATTTCCCGCTGCACACGTGGTTAAAGGTGAACTGAAGGAGTCCCTGGTCTTCACAATAGAGCTCTGTCTGCCCCCTGCCCTCTGATTTACGTGGCCTGCTGTTTCCCTGGGCCTAGAGTTTATGTCCAGGTGGAGATTCATTCTGCAGAGTAATAGCTGGGGAAGAAGAGTGTCAGCCAGCCCCCCGTCCTCTTTCTTCTGCATGATTAGAACATGTCTGTCCAATTCTGATGTCCAATAATTGGAAACCCACACACTTGCAGATAAGAGCCACATCGTCTGAAATTGATTTTATTGTTAATACAGATGAAGAGGGTTGCTGTATGGATGTGCACTGCACAATTTCACAGGTGCCATTTGCACTACCCTCATGGTGGTTTTGATCTCCCCTCTGCCCTAATCTTTGCCATGCTTCACATTTGTGTCAGAAATAAGGCAAGGTGCAACTATCGGGTCCCTTGGCCAACATGAGTAGATGCTCTTCTGATACCAGGCTTCATTATTTATGCAATAAAGGAGTTAAAATGTATAATCATTAGTGGTCCTTTTTCAACCAAAAAAGTTCTATGAACTTAGTAGTTCTCTGAAATTTTCATAAAAGCACATATAGGTGCTGTCTGCTGAGCATTTGAAATATGGCCAGTCCAAACTGGGTTGTGCTAAATGTGTAAAATACACAACAGACTTCAAAGGCAGGAACAGCAGCTTCATGCAGAAAATAACTAGGTTTGCACATTCAGCTGTGTTATCTCATTGATAATTTCATACTGAATTCATGATTATAAATACTTTAAATTATGCATGTGACTTACATTATATTCCCATTGCTTGGTTATGGTCTAGGAGTGACTAAAGAGAAACTTGTATTTTTTATTTTTACATGTCCAAATTGTACCCAAACTTGGAGACTTTTGGGGGAAGTAAGGACATTTTTGAAATATACTCCCTGTTTCTACAAGAAATAGGAATGACACCATGGAAGGATGATACCCCAGACCCACAAGAGTAAGAGATGGAAACCCTTCACATACCACTTAAGGAACAGCTTGTATTCATACCTTTTTGGCTGTCTTTTCCATCACATCCTGGAACACCCTGGCACCCTGGAGGGCCTGGGGGACCTGGTGGCCCCGGTGGCCCCGGCAGTCCACAGTCACCTGGTTCCCCTCTCAGGCAGTCAACACTCCCAGGAGGCCCTGGAGGCCCGGGTGCTCCTGACCACAGGAAGAAGGCAAAAATGTTTCAAAGACAAAGGTGGCTACCTGAAAACTTAAGAAAAGTAATCTCATGATCTGCAAGCAAGGGATATAGGGGGTTAGAAGAATAAGAAAGTCAATATTTTGTCAGAAATGAAATGCAAATTGTGTCTCTTGGAACCCAAGCTGAGAAATGGTGTAGATAATGGGTTAGTAACTGTCAGACAAAATGAATCTAAGCAAAATCTTCTTCCCTTTCAAGGACATTCCTTTTGGAAATATCATTTTATGGACTTTGTATTATTACCTCACTACTTTAATTGAATGGATGGATGGATGGAAGAATTGGTGAGTAGGTGTATGGATGGATGGATGGATGGATGGATGGACAGGTGAATAGATAGGCTTTTGACAAAATATCACATCAATTGATACAAAAGGAATATTCAAATTATAATCCTATTTGAAAATTAATGTCTGCAAATAGGAAAAAAAATCAACCCAAATTCTTTCTCCACTTTGTTTCTATATTTCTTAGCAGTTTTTCTTGGTTTTATTTTTATCAGCACACAGTTCTGCCTTCACTAAGTCCTAAAGATTCCAAGATGGTGGATCTGTGTGGAGAATAGCTCTAGCAGGGAGTATGAATGTGGCCGTCGGCACTGGGCAAGCCAGGAAACTGGGCCAACCAACTTTGTCAGTTAATAATAACTTCCAAAGGCTGACACTGCCGGAGCTCATCTCTATTAAATGGCGGGCGAGAGGAACAATATGCACTGTTAGATGCCCATAAGGAAACATTTCTGGGTGTACAAGAGGCCGGGGTCCTGCCACTCTGGGCCAGGGGACAGGTGGTAGAAACCAACAAGGAGTAAGTATTTCCCTCCTACTGGGCACTTCTGAAGACTCATGGGCAGCATCATGCTAGTAATGAGAAATGCTTACTCTGCATCAGTTTGTGCCTGGGCAGAGGTGCCTGATAAGACTGACACAGAAGAGTGAAGGGACTACATTCTGGGCCTGAATAAGTCCAATATCCACAATCCCACCCAACTAGGTCCCATTGATCGGAGTGCCTAGGTGCTTCTGCTCTGCCACTCTCTCATCTTAGAGCCCTGCTGAGCTGGTTGCATCTAATAAAGGGAGAATTCCCATCCTTCACCATGATGCTGTCATACCTCTTGCACCATCAGGGCCAGGAGGTCCCTGATCTCCAGGTGGACCTGGGTCAGGAATGTCACCCTTAGGAGGTCTTCCTGGAACGCCTGCTGGACCAGGTGGTCCGGGTCTCCCTGCGTAAGCACATGTTTACACATTAGCCTCATTGTATTTGAAAGGTTTTTGAATGAATGACTTAAAAAGGGACCAAAACATGCTGCTTCTTACCTGGGGGACCTGGGGGACCTTTTTCACCAAAAAGGCCAGGAGGAGAAATTCCTGGGCTTCCAGGGTCTCCTGTCTCCCCTTTCAGCCCAGGGAGTCCCACTGGACCGGGTGGGCCCATTTCATGTAAACCTTAATAGGGAAAATAGCGTGAGTATGTCCTGATCTTACTTGTCCTTGTTATGGTACTTGACAAGGGACCACTTCCCCAAAGTGGCTGGTTCTGCAGAGACCAACCTCTGGCTGCAAGGGTACTTCTAAATGGTGACCTGGATCATCATTTTCTCTAATGACCCAACACACTGGTCAACCACAAATTTGATTTCTTTTATGGTTATTTCCCAGATTAAAAAAAAAATTAATAGGTGAGTGAGAATACTAACCTTCCAACCTTTACAAAGGACAAAGCAAAACCAAATGAGGTGCAATAATAAATAATGATGGGGCTGGGGTTTTATCTCAGTGGTAGAGTGCTTGCTTAGCATGTGTGAGGCACTGGGTTCAATTCTCAGCACCACATATAAATAAATAAAATAAAGATCCATTGACAACTAAAATAAATAAATATGGATAAACTTCTTTGAAATTTGAGTGGAAGGCAACATCTAATGAGAACTATGGTAGAATGGAGCTTCTCAGTGAGAAGGGAGCACATCACTGGTTTCCTGGAAGAGACACAGACCTAATCAGGCTATTTAGAAGAGCCACTAAATTAACCCTACGTGGCATAAATTACTTTTTCTTCTATGTTTTTAAATATATATATTTTTTTCCATTTTTTTTATTGTTGGTCGTTCAAAACATTACATCTTTCTTAATATATCATGTTTCACAATTTGATTCAGAAGGGTTATGAACTTGCATTATTACCCCGTATACAGATTGCTGAATCACATCGTTTACATCAGTTACATTTCCATTGATTTACACATTGCCATTCTAGTGTCTGATGAATTCTGCTCTCTAACCTATCATCTACTATCCCCCCACCCCTCCCCTCCCCTCCCCTCTTCTCTCTCGACCACCTCTACTGTAAAACATTTATTCCACTTGTGTACTTCTACCCTTACCCCTCACTTCCTCTTGTATGTAATTTTATATAACGACAAAATCATAGAATTTGGAGGGAAATGGATGGCATTAGAGCAGATTATGCTAAGTGAAGCTAGCCAATCCTTAAAAAATAAATGCCAAATGACTTCTTTGATATAAGGGGAGTAACTAAGGACAGAGTAGGGACGAAGAACAGGAGAAGAAGATTAACATTAAATAGGGATGAGAGGGGGGAGGGAAAGGGAGAGAGAAGGGAAACTGCAGGGAAAGGGAAGGTGATCCTCAGGGTTATTTAAATATATTTTTAATTGTTGGTGAACCTTTATTTTATTTATTTATATGCAATGCGGAGAATCAAATCCAGTGCCTCACACATGCTAGGTAAGTACTCTACTATTGAGCCACAACCGTGCCCGTAAACTACTTTTCAATGTTCACAATTAATAAAGGTGTTGTCTCTCCAAAACACCTAGCAGCACAAGTCACCTTTCCCCATAGTCTCTCAAATCTACATGCTGAGTTACAGTTTCAATTATACTTCTTTTCTGACAAACTGACACAACCAATGTGTATGATATGAGAGGAACAATCTAAAACACAGCTGTTGAAGATCAGCCTCTCTGTGATATCCAGAACAACAGCAAATAGTTCAGGTAATGCTTTTTGTTTGTTTGATTCTTTGTTTTAGTCATGGCAGTAAAGGAATGTTAAAAGTGCTAATTAGATCCACATGGCTGTATGAGACACTGCTGTAGTTAAAATTATATAATTTTTTAAAAAAGCCCAGACTTTGTTTGTTATTCACAGTACTTTGCAATCAGCCCCATGTAGGCAGTTATTTTTAGTGGAGAGACAAAATAAGACCAACACAAGGCATTACTAACCTCCTTTCTTAAGTAGATTTTCTTAAATGTCCTTTTATATGTCATCCTCAGCACTAGAAATAGCTCTCATACTGTGTCTCTCTCAGCTATGACAGATTTTCAGTTTTACTCCTAAATCTTGTGGAGTGAGAAACTACCCAGGGGGGTTCCACCTAATCTCAAGGCCACCACAGAAGCTCGGTTTCCTGAAGATGGCTTTTTAATCTTACCTGAGGTACCTTTGCTTCCTTTCTGACCCTTCAAACCATGCAAGCCGTCCAGGCCAGGAGACCCCGAAGGACCTGAAAAACACACCAGCCCTGTGTACGGAAGGCAAGAGCAGCCCCTAATACCAACCTTAGTCACTGCCCCAACACTGCCCAACAGAGGGCATGCCAGAGAGCAAGGTGGACATCTCACACTCTGGAGGTCATTATCAGGGTAGGACTCCTCCGGGCGATGGTTACTCAACACATTCATTTGCAGATTTGTAGCACAACAGCTTAACATGTTTCCTTGGTTGTAAGGCACCCTGTCGGGTTATAACCGTATCATGATCAGCTGCAGCCCAGAATTACTGGCTCTTGGTGTAGGAAGTAATCTTTGAGTTAATGACAACAAAATCATTCTAAAGGAGGAAAGAGACTGGATGGGAGCCAATACATGCCTCCTACCTCCAGGGCTTGGCCTTTCCAACCAGGATCCGAAGGTCCTCCTGCCCAGTCATGCTATCAGTCAACAGGGCATCTGGCCACTGTGGGACAATGGGGCATATGTGTCCTCCCTGGCTTTATTTTAAGCATTGCTGCTCTGGAACAACAGGCCTGCAGGTCAGATTTGTCTGTAGCTTTTTTTTTGCAACTAGTTCTTTCAAAACCATTCTGACTCCTTTTTACAACCACCAAATTTATTTCATGATGATCATCAAAATCTCCAGGCTCTGTAATTAGATGTTATCCCAGAGAACCTTCTATCGGGCATCCGTACAGTCCTCACAGCAGAATCTACCAGCCAAGCTTCCCTTCGGCCATCACTGAGCGCTTCCAGTGGACACATTTTCCTTAAGATTTTCCACTAACACAGTTTGAGTGTGTTTGACCTCCCCCAGATGGGTATCTTTTCAAATGCAAGTTTCCTAATTGCCCAGCATAGAGGTGGAAGAGGAAGAAGAAAGGGCAGAAAGGATGGAGAAGAAAAGTGAGAGGAAGGGCAAGTGACCAGCACCACAGAGCACTTCCCCAGGGCTGAGCCCCGCCGAATGCTATCCCTCATGTCTCACCCCACTGATGACTGGGAAGATCTCCAGGCTTCTCAGGGCCTGGCCACATCTGGTCACCTGCCTATTCCATTGGTGGAGCTTCCATCCATTTTCTCCCCATCCTGTTCTTTCTCACCCAATACTAAGCAACTCCACATAGAACCAGCCATTCACTTAGTATAGGGACCCATCTCTCAAATTTGGGACAATCACACCCCTCAGTTTATATAACTGAACATACAGCAAGCACCATCGCCTCCACCTGTGAACCTACATGGGGTACCCTGATCAACTACACCTGTGCAGTGCTGGAGGACTGTCTCCCCACCTAAGGGTCAATCAGGGTGTAAGGCCAGGTCCTGTTAGTCTTTCTGCCCCCACACTTAGTATATTTTCTGGCACATAGTAGGTGTTCATAAGTGTTTGTTGAATGACTGCATTAATGAGAAAATGTGGACCAAGGAGGTCAAGGGACTGAACAGGTGAGAGTAACCATATTTTTAAAAGGTAGCCTAGACTTTCTATTTGCTTGTCACTTCTTTCTTTGATACATTTATAGGATACGTATGATTTGAAGATCCTGGAGGAATCCATTTGTACGTACATAAGTTGAGTGCTGATGATTATCTGTCCATTAAAGCAGGCCCTCCCTCTGAGGACTTCTTACCTGAGAGTGGCAGAGTTAGCCCCTCCTTTCTATTTATCCCAGTACTTGAAACAGACAGTTGTTTTTCTCTTTTTAAGATATCAACGTTAGATGGCTTCAAGTGAGTTATATTCTCTTGCACCGAAAAAATGGGAATGCATCTTTATTTTCCCTGGATCTCTTATTCCTAACCATTTTTAACCAGCTCTGGCTTAGTTTATTTTCCAATCCTCTTTCCTGTGTTATGAGCCAATATTTCAAGTTTGCACCAAAAGAACACAATGACCTTCTTCATCCGCCAAATCTGGATATTTATTGCAATCTATCTGAAATGATAGTAAATTTTTTGAGACCACTTTGCTATTTCCATGTGTTTTGATCTCCAGCTTTTGGCACTGAGATTGATGGCTTGGGGGACTTGGCTAAGGGTGGAATGTCCCAGCCTCTGCCAACTCTCCATTGTCACATCAACACATCCAGATCCAGCCTTGTCACAGCCCAGCCCCTTGCCATTGTTGAACTGGCCGACCCTTATCTGACCTAATGTTATCTTTCTAAATTGAATGCAGCTACATCTGGGTAGGGTTTTAAGGGTAATTTTTCCTTTTGACTGAAAGCTTTTTATCAATCCCATCTCTAAATCAGAAAGTTGTTCATGCATAAAATATATACAGTGCAGATGAGAGGCAATTAGGCTAACAAAGCACATTCCTGGGTAATGAGGAATTTTTATTCACCTCTCTGATCCTCCCGTCCTTCTGCTTAACAGCCATCATTTAAGGCTGCATTGAGCTGCACTCACTATACAGGGTGCTCTTCCTCTAGCCAGTAAATCTCAAATCTCATCTCCGCTCTAGCACAGTTGGCCACCCATCTGTCCTAGCCAGCCCCCTCTTTGTGACTGGATTCCCACTCTCAGGATATATTTTTGTTCTCAAGCCTGAAAAGTCGGCACCCCAGGAGCCTTCTACTGGTTTACATTTCTAATGGGTGTCCAGTGTTTCCCTGCTAGCCTGGGACTTTCCTACCAGACGTTCCTCAGCCTAACATAACCCTCCAATCCCAGGCACAAAGGGAGAGCTGGTCACCCAGTTGATGGGAAGGAGAGGATTTCATGACTATGAGTAATGACTGAAGAAACTTGAATACTCTTATCAAAAATAATACTGCAATGAGATTTTTTTTAAAAAAAATTAAAGAAATTCATCAAATGTAGGAATGTCTTCTGAGGGCCCAGATAAGGTTTCCTACACCGAGCTTCAGCAACCAAATGTGTCTCATGACATACTTATGGGAAGGTGGGAAGCAAGAGAGAAATAATACCTGTTATGACAGAACAAACAGGCAATGACATCGGTGTGGTGAGTGCTGCAGGGGTGGGCAGGAGGGTAACAATCTAGCTGTAAAAAGGAGGGACATTTCTACCCCAAGGCACATAGTCTTGCTTTCCTGACAAAGGACACTTCAGAGTGCTTTTTAAAAGTGAAATGCATTTACTTTCCACAAGCCAGAATACCCAATCCACACTCTTTATAATGCTGTTAGTCTACAAATAATTCTCTTTAGGTTTCCATCATGACAACTTTACATTCATACCCCATCCCAGAATGGGGTGTTTTAGAGGGAATATGTACTCAAAAATTTAAATCTCGGAATCAAGCCACTTTTAGCATATGCTTAAGTTAAAGTTTAAATCTGATTGAACACAAGCAGGACTCCAAATCCATATGGCCTGTTCTAGCAGAGCAAACAACTTTGAGTTCAGCAGCTGGTTTGTTCAAACAAGATAATCAGTCCCCCTGACTTATTTAGAACATACTTCAAATATTTAGTTTCTCAGTTCAAAGTGTTTCTGCCGGAGTGTGGTTCATTTTGATATCAGCGTGATCGACTGCAACTGTGGGTTTGCGCTGTAGCTGTTCTAACCTTTAGGAATGTATTTCACTGCTTTGTTTTGTTTAGATGAAGGTTCCCTGGGCGGTCAGCAGTGAAACAGTGTCACTACATGGCCAGGAAGCACCACTGCAGCTGCTCCGTCACCCCCCTCACTATCTCCTCTCACAGACTCACCGATTTACGATGCAATCAGAGATTACTTCTCATGAAGATTTGTTATGGATCAATTCATCAGCTATTAGTCTTTTAGTGACATGTCATGTTGAAGTTGTGTGATAAATGCAAACTAAATCAAGGTAAAAAAGAATCAACAACAGTAGCATGAGTCTTGTCATTTTGGTGACACTGGGTATATATTATGAGAATAGGAAGGAGTGGGAATTTGGTAGAAGTGGTTAATAATGGGAAGTGTTTTCTTTCTTTCTTTTTTTTTTTTTTTTACCAACTTCTTTACAGACATAAACACAAAAATAATCAAGGAATACCCCATAAGGGCTGTAGGGGACGGGAGGGGGCATGAGGTAGGAAAGATGGTGAAATCAGATGGACATGATTACCCCAAGTACATGTATGAAGACATGAATGGTGGGACTCTACCTTGTGTACCACCAGAGAAATGAGAAATGGTGCTCCATTTGTGTACTATGAATTGAAATGCATTCTGTGTCATGTATAACAAATTAGAATAAATTAATAAACAGTATTATCATTTTGTTTGAAACCCTAAATTCGTCACCAATCTCTGGACCTCCCATTACTGAAAACGTCAACGAAGAGGCAGAAGAGTGTCAAGTTGTCCAGTGACCGGGAGCCTTCCTTGTCAATTTATTTTGCCGTGTAGAAATACACAACTTGTACCAATGCATCAAAACAGCTTCCTTGTGCAGTCTTGCCCCAGGGAATACACACCACACGACCACTCGCTGAAAATTTGGAATTATTTGGAAGCTATTCCATAAATGAAGAGGAGAAAAGATGGAAGAACAGAATTTGGATTTTCGAAACAATAAAATGGTTAATCCTAGAACCGGTGGTGTCCACTTTCCTGAGAGGAGGCCCTTTCTACTTCACTAACATTCAGTGTACATGTGAGTCAGTGAGCAGAAGGCAGGAGGAGACCCAAAGCTTCCCCGCAGGAAGTCAGCAGGTAAAGCTCTGACCTTCAACCTCACTGCTACTAACTCAGGGGCACAGTCTTGGGTTTGTCTCTTTGTTTACTCAAACTGCCAACCAAATACTTTTTTTTAAATAGGTCTCTACTGGATACCAAGAATATATATATAAAAAAAAAGGTCTTGCTTTTAAAAAATCATCTATTTGGTAAGAAAAGCCTCTAAGCAAACAAATGGACACAATGTATATTTAGCGTTGTAATGGACACAACACTAAAGGTGTGCATGAAGTACATATGGAAAAGCGCCTTTTCTTAAATAAAAGAAATGACCTCAAAAAGAGAAGCTTCATGGATAAGTGAGCAGTCATGAAGATCTGTTAATAACAATACATTATATTATTGTATATTATTTACAGATTTGCACTGGTCCTCTATTACTTTAAAAGGCCAAATATTTCCACCAGGAACAATTTTTCTTTATCTAACAAAGATAATGAGTACTGGTTACTCTTTTTCCATAACACCTTAGTCTTTTCCTCCCTCCCCTTATCACAATTGGCAAATATATATCTATTTACACATATTTTTAATGTCAGCCTCTTCTACTAGATAACAAGTCCCATGGAGGCTGAAACTTGAACCTAGTAGCAAGGTCCTCAAAACTGCAGGCCCAGCATCCAACACAATATCAAGAGCATAACAGGAGCTCAACTGTCCCGTGGTAAGAATAAAAGGGTAGACTGACCATAGTGAAAAACACTGGGTGGATGCCTAGAAGTGAGATGGCTGTACCCTGCTGTGGACATGCCCTGGTGGAGGCAGGTCAAGGTCAAGACGGGTACTGCCTCAGGCCCCAGGGGAAGAAGAGCTATGAATCTGCTGTTGTTGGGCTGGATCTGTCTGATGGGCTGGGCATATTTTGACTTACCTTTTATTCCTGGAGGTCCTGGTAGCCCTGGATCCCCCTGGAGACCTGTGGACCCAGGCTCTCCCCTTTCTCCTGGATGGCCCTTCTGCCCAGGCATCCCCTGATCACCTGAGGACAAAAGGGAAGTTCTGCAGACACCCCGATGATGTATGATGACAGGGAATCATCTACATTTTTAATTCCTGGGTAGCCAGGAATATTTTCCTAAGTTTCCTTCCAAGATATCTGAACTCTAAGGAGAAAAATTAACAACTTAGAAGGAGAAGATACACTTCAAGATGACTGAAGTTACCATTTATGATTTTAAACTTGCCCCCTTTCCCCTGAACTGACAGGAAATGGATTATTAAAACGCTGGGCTGTAAATGTGGTGTTTGCCTTGGGTCCAAAACAGGGGGCGGGGACAGCATTGTGAGTGGCAGGTGGAAGGAGGAGAGTGGGAAAGGAGCTGCCTTTGTCAGACCACCCCGGTATGGGTGCCATGCTGTGGTCTTGGTTACTCCCAGTGACCCAATTAGAAGGACCGACCTCATAGGTGAGCAGTAGGTGAGTTTTAGTGGCCTGTCTAGAAGCTCAGACTGGGAATCAGAAGAGCCACATGCAAAAAATGAATAACAATCCCTAAGATATGTGAAGACTGACTCCAAGAGATAAGGAGCGCTCAGGAAGTTTCCCTTTCAAAGTACCTGGACACCCTAGTGGTCCCAAAGAGCCAGGCAGGCCTGGCTTTCCTGGTGGTCCTTTCAGTCCTTGAACTCCAGGCAGGCCTTGATCTCCAGGGGCTCCAACATGTCCTAAAGAAGGAAGGTGGAAGCCTGAGACATTGAATCTATTCAATAGCCAACTGCACCCCTAGCTATTCTTTTCTATATTTAAATCTTATATTAAATCTTATATACTTCCTTATATTTAAAATTTTCTGCTGAAAGATTACATTAAGGAATAATGGAAAGCAAAATGCCCATAATTCAACCACCTTAACAGAGTTTTCCATATGTAAATGAGATGAAAATAATACCCACCATTTTACATTCTGAATTTTTAAATTACTGTTATAAGTAATTTTTCAACTTTGTCATAGTACTCTTAATTACCATTTGTAAAAGCTGTTAGCTTATTGATTCAATGTTAATTAAATTAAGTAATCTAATTTTCTCCTGCTGTTGGACATTCGAATTATTTCTAACTCTTTGCTATTATGCTTATTGATCTTCATACATCTTTCTTCAATTTTTCTCCTTATCAATTATTTCCTTATGAAAAATTCCTAGGAGTAGAATTTGTAGGTAAATAGTGTGATATTTTGGTTCTTTTAAAATACATTTTTAAATGCCAAAGTGTTTTAAAAAAAAAAATCACAGTCTTTATGGAATTCCATCTCTAAATACTTGAGAAGTTAAGCCTGAAACATTTTCTTACATGGAAAAAATAACATTATCACAGCCAAAAAATTAATGACAGTTCCTAATATCATCTTATGCTCATTCCACACTTGGACCTGTAATGTTCTTCACAGTTGGTTTGTCCACATCAAGTTCCATGCCAAGATCACAGATTGCATCTAGTGGATATTTCTCTTAAATTTTAAAAAATCTGAAACAGTCCCCTATGTATGACAATGACTTGCTGAAGAGAAAAGCTGAGATCCTCTCTTGTCTATTATTATTATTAATTAATTAATTAATTTTTTTGCAGTACTAGGGATTGAACCTGGGGCCACCCACATGCTTAGTTAAGGGTTCTACCACTGAGCCACATCTCCAGGCACTTTAAAAAAAATTATTTTGAGGCAGGGTTTTGCTAAGTTTCCCAGGCTGGTCTCAAACTTGCCATCCTGCTGCCTCAGCCTCCTGAGTAGCTGGGATTTGCAAATGCATGCTACTGTGCCCTGCTTGGCGTCTTCCAAAATAGACCATTCAGCATCTGATCTTGCCAGAGGTAACCTATGGTTTGAAGTGAGGTGCTCAAGTACTCAGCCACCACATGTCACTCATCCATAGCTCTGGAACCAGAATGCCAAGAGCACACCATGTTTTTCCTGGGGACCTTTCGTTAGTTGGCTTATTTTCTTGGCAATTTAGTAAGAATAAAATGACACTCAGACATTTTAAAGGACATTTCTTTGGTTACAAGAGTATGACTATTTGCTCATGTGTTTATTCATGATATAGGACTTTAATTCATGTTTACAGGATGAAACAATATCCTGTGCTGAAAATCAATAGCCAAATCTGTGGAAAAGCTCAGCTCTGTACTCACAAACCCATTGGGGCGTAATCTTTATGTACTACTGTAGGAGTAACTTTTGGTTTGCAGCTAGCCGCTATAAGCAGCTCAGAGTGCTTGAAAAACCTACAGGAACTCCTGCAGGATGGGGCTCTCTGCTCTAGCGAGCCCTCTGAGAAACCACATCCTCAGTGACTGAGGTCAGCATTGCCAGGGAACCGAGAGGCAAGGGCCTCAGGGCATGATTTCCACAACTCATAAGGCCCCCTCTCATAGGGACAAAGAACCTACCAAGCTGCCTTCCACCATGTAACAATATTTAGAGCTTCCTCATAGTGCGGTTACATTAATCATAAGATGATTGGCTTCTAGATGCTGTGTAAGCTGCTTTGCTTGTGTATGATTGGGGGATGCACCCTACCCAAGCCCAATATCAGTTGTACTCATTTCCACAATAAATGAGCTTGCTTGGAGGTTGGCTGAGGCCTGTCACCTGCCTGCTCTCACCAGCTCTGTGTCCCCCACACCCACTGCAACTGAGGTAGCCAAGTGACCTACAGCATCTGGCACCCAAAGTCTGCTCCCAGCTGCGCACTTTGGGGCTGGTCACCCCGTTGACCTCGGGTAGAGACCCCTTCCCTGTTCCGTGTGCTGACAGTTCCTTGAAGGTGAGCAAGGAACCCCTCTCTTACCCCCTTTCCTTGTTCTTGTTGAGCCTTGGCTCTGAGTTGAGGCACACTGCCATCAAGGTTGGCATCACCTGTGGCTCTTCCTTCCCCTTGGTTCACCTGGTGAATTCACATGAGGGACTGATCCTCCCGGAATTCGGAACCTCGATTTTCTCTGTTAAAGAGAACTTTGCTCCGGAGACACCATATGGACATATGGCCTTGACCTAGCAAGTCAAGGAAGTCCCCCACTAATCACAAGACATTGGATCCTAAACACACTCTTGTTTGTCCTATCTCGGGGCTTCCATGTCTGAACCATCCCCTTGGGCTCCTGTTGTGGGTATCTTGATCCTTATGGGTGGTTATCTTAGTGTGACTTTGTTCATACCTGAGAGACTCCAGGAGGCCTCTAATAGGTCCACTAACCAGTCATGGGCAACCTTCCCCCTGTACAACAGTCCCACAACTAGCAGCTCTGAACGCACTGCTTTCTCGGTGTGGACTTAGAGTGAAACCAAAAGACACTGATAACTTCTGGCAGAAAGCTGTCTTTTTAGCACCCTGGATTGGCCCCGAAAACATATGGGATCCACAAATTTGGATGAGAGTCTCACACTCTGCAAGGAAAAAGGAGGTCCATGAAGGACACATTCCCCCTGCCTCTTTCATACTGATTCTTCTTGCCATCATTGCCAGCCTTCAAGGCTCTTCCGCAGAGGAGGTCATCAAAAAGCATAATGACTCTTTGGAGGACAAAACAATGACTCTCCAGGCCTCTGCCTCCAGTGTCATTGATTCAGATGAGGATAATGACTCAAGAGAGGATGACCCTGATATTTCACAGCGTCCTGCAGCAACCTCTCTTCCCTTGTCCGCCTCCCTCACTCCGAAATATCCATGGAAAGAATTACACTCCTGCGCCAAGGAGAGACACCCTTTAAGGCCCTCGACCCCTTATCAACCCCCGTAATCCCCTCATAACCCCTTTTCTGCCTACCCAGTGAATCTCGGTTGCGATGCAGAAAATAGACCCTGGGTGCCTACTCCTTTACTAGATCTAGCATTACTGAGTCTGGGCCTGACTCTCCTTACTTTGAGGAGGTGTTAAAGCAATGGTCAGCCCAATTGCAAATATCCTTTGATTGGATGAACCTTCTTAACTAGTTAAAAAGTTAAGGAATGTTTAACTCATCCACAATATTTAGGGTGGAAAGCTTCCTTCAAGGAGAAGGCAGAACAAATGGCGAGGAACAACCTCTCCTATGCATCGCCATCACTTTAGACACGTTGATTGGTCGTGGTACCTTTCTGAGCCCACAAGAACAATCCAGATTTGGAAATGTCATTTACTTTGACCAAGTTAAAGATATTGCCCTGAAGAGTCTTAAAAACATTATATCTCCAAAATATGATGAACTCTTCAGAAACCTGATCTAGAGTCCCCATGAGTGGTTTCCTGACTTTTTTGTCCCAAGTCATTGAAGCAGTTGAGAAGCTTATCCAACCTGGCCCTATTCAAGATTCGCTAATCAAACAGTTGGCATGGGAGGGGGCTACAAACGAAACTAGGACTGCAATTGCCCCCGTCCGCAGTGAATCCCTTATTAAGTGGATCTCTGCTACTAAAGAAGTAGCCCCTTCCTCGGGGCCCATTCAGGCTTTAACAGCTGCCATCAACAAGCTACTAATAGACAAGAACAACAAACCTTCCCAACTGAGATCCGATCCCATTTGCTGGGGCTGTAATCAGCCAGGCCACATTAAACGGTACTGTTCTAAGAGTGGCATCCACCCTGGCCCCAAGACACCCTGCCCTAGATGCAAAAAGGGTTATCACTGGGCAAAGGACTGCAAACTCAAGCCTTTCAACTCCCTTCGGGGCAACCCTCAGCCTTGCCAGTAAGAGGGAACAGATGCCTGCAAATTTGCTTACGCTACCCATTTTGGACACCAAACCCAGAATGACCATTATGCTTGACGGTATTTCTGTTAAAGGCATAGTAGACACAGGGGCTGATGTTTCCATCATAGATTCTAATACAGCATCCAAGATGAAGAAGTGGAAGACATAGCCCAGTCCCAGTATATAAGGCATTGGTGGGCTCCAGGCCACTAGGAAAGTTATTTCTTCTGTCATGTGGCAGGACATGGATGGAGAGAAGGGTTCCTTTCATCCCTTGATTGCAGAAGTCCCTATCACCTTATGGGGTAGGGACATCCTGGAGGACATGGATGCTATCATAACCAATGATGACAAAGCCTTATATGATGAAATAATGATACATGACAAGACAGGGCTATCAGGAAGACGGGTGCCCCCCCCAATTCTAAAGGCCACTGTTCCCTTGACCACTAAACCTGATCCCATCCCCCTGGAACGGGACACCACAGACCACATCTGGGTGGAACGGTGGCCTAGACTAGAACCCAAATTAACAATTCTTAAGCAACTAGTTCAGGAACAATTAGATCTTGGGTATATTGAACCCTCCAGCAGCTCACACGATACACCTATCTTTGTAATCCCCAAGAAAAATGGGAAACATAAATTACTTCAAGATTTGAGGACAATTACAAACATATGAAAAAGACAGGTTCATTTCAATCGGGTACTCTTCATCTAGCCAACATCCAGAACAACTATCTTATTGTTGCTAGAGACCTCAAGGATTGCTTCTTTTCCATCCCTATAGCAAATCAGGACAGACCCCTTTTCACTTTCACGGTATGGGAACCTAACACCATGATACCTGCCCAGAGATATCACTGGGCAGTCCTCCCACAAGGGATGAAAAATAGCAACCCCTCCCATATGTCAGCTCTTTATCTCTCATGCGACCAATGCCCCTTACACAGCATTGCCTGGTCATACATTATATGGATGACATTTTGCTTGC